TCGGGAGAGCTAAAAGTTTTCGTATGATCATTGACACCCATACCTTTTAATCCCTAATACGTACCTGTTGTTTTTTCCCCTCCTAGGGACATTCATTGGTCTTAGACACAGCGTTAGCCCTCGCTGTACACTTCGCTAGCATAGAAAAAAGGCCTGAGCGCTGGAGAGCTTATTTGCCGCATCACCTTATGAAAAAATGAAAACAGCCTTCTGGTATGTGGGTAATGATCACAAATTTGAGGTCTCTCTCGGAAGGCTTATCTGCATCAGTAGCTTCTCTTTCATAAGCAGCGTTACTCAGCAGCAGACTAAGATCACGAGTGGGGCTCGCCCCACAGTACGGCAGCGCCCGGCAGATGCTCGCACCAGCTCCTCCAAGAAAAGAGTGGGGCGCGGAGGAGCGATGTGTTGGCAGGTCCGTTGGTTCCACCCTAGTGCTCTAACCAGAGAGAAATGATCCTTCAGGTGTGGAATACTTCAGAGAGTCAGATTTAGCTTAATGTGAGGAATGTAATTCTTTCTGGTAATGTTAACAAAATAGGAAAAAATGCAACCAAATTCTCTTCCAACCCGGCAAGTCTGATCGGCGCTCGCCGGTGTCAGTGGAAGCAGGTCTTCTCTTTGATGAACCTTGACCCCGTCTCAGGATGCATACAAATACACCCCAAAAGATGGGCAAGTCCTGGCGTTCAGGTGTCCGTCGTAAGGTCTTACTGGGAATCAAACCACTTTTAGGAAATGTGTTTCACTGTATGGAGTAACATCGTGTATAGGAGTGGATAATTGGCAGGTGGTGTTAGTTGTTTTTTTTTTTTTTTTTTCCCCTTGCAACTTAAAAGTACATAAATGGAACTAGACCCCAACATAGACACTATTTTCTCAGATACCATGTGGAAATTGTGCACAGAATAGTTTGTTTCCTTTAAAGATAAAGGTGGAACGCCTTTGTGGTTGCACAGTCCCGCCTTTTAAGCAGATGATTTTAGTAGCTTTTGAAGCACAGCTTGAAGAACATGTTCCAAAACCCAGGAAAACCCAATACCCGAATCGGTCCAGTTACGGGCCGGACTCTTACCCAGCTTAACGCTAGCGATGTATAAGCAAACTGTAAGCAGGAGGTAAATGTAATTTGTGCCTCTTCAGAAATCCTTTTATACTTCCTCATCTGTATATAATGGCATTAATATACTTGAGAATCGAGTCCGCAGTGTTTACAAATGATGGCCAAAGGAAAGCTGCGTTTGTATTTTGCCTGCCTGAACAGCTTTCTGGCTTTCCTTTTTTTCTTTCATGGATTTGGAGCATGACGCAAAGATCACACACTTCTGTTTCATTGCTTTGAATGAGCTGGATGAAACAGCCCTCAGGCTGCTATTGAAATTAGAAGTACGTGCAGGAGGCTGGAGTGGATCTTCATGATTGATCAGGTGTGTGCCGTGAACAAGACGACCGACGCAGTACATAATATATTTGTCAATATATTGATTTGTAGGAAGCAGCCTACACCATAGTGTACAACTTGGAAAAGTTTTGTAGTTTAGCTTTGGTCCAGAAAAATTCCCCATTTATTTTCCAAATTAACTGAACCTCTAGTATCGGGGGTGGGGTGGGGGGTGGAAATACAGGCATTGAACTCAACATCAAATGCCTTAGTGCTTCAAGTTTCTACCTGTGCTGGAAGTACGCAGAAGTTGATCTTCTTTCTGTGTTGGTCCTCATCTAACTAGCCTACTCCCAGTGTTTCTAACTGATCGCATAGGACCTGATTTTGGGCTGAAGGAAGTCAGTGCAAATTTTTAGTTGATTTTGATGATCGCCGGGTGGGAGAAACACACTTACCGGAATGCTCTGCTAGGGCCGCGCATGACAAGGCAAACGGTGATGGCAACAGAATTGTACAAATATTCTACGTAGTTAAGAAGATCAGTAAACGTCTGGATAAACTGGTTATTCACAGTGATTTGTTGGGTTTCTTGAATCCGGTTTGAAGTATGACAGGTTGGTATTAGTCTTTCTTGAGGATCACATCCATAGGCTCCTAAAGAAAGTGCCCCCGTATTTAGCATAGCCAAGTGCAGGTCCTTATACGTGTTCTGCCTTTGTCTATAGGAAGCAGTAGATGCAAATGGTTTCGGAATAATCAGAGCATTGGCATCCCACAATATTTGTCTACTGTAAAAGCATATCACTGGAGATGGAAGTGAGAAAGATAAGCAGGGAAATGTAGGATCCCGTTCTGTTCCACATGACAGTTTCCTGATCTTGAACTTTATCCACTGCCTCAGCCTCTCCCATGTGGAGAGATTTATATTTCTATAAATAGATAATAAAGAAATAAATGTAAATATACGGAGAGAGTTATATTTATCCTCTATAAACACTGCATCTCCCTTCTCTAGCGTCTGACCAGAAAAGAGGGAGAAGGAACTCCGTGTTGCTCGATGATCGTTGTAGGTCCCTTCCAAATGAACTGTTCTGTTCTCTTCTGTTCTCTTCTCGTTTGCCCCAAATTGTAGTAATTATGAGTCAATTTACCCCAGTGGTAAATAGGTTCAGGTGTTGGGCCCAAAAGCTGTACGTAAGCATACCTTTCAAACCCCGTCTAAAGTGAAGGCTTTTTCACCTTTCACCATAAGTTCCTGAAAACCCGCAGATGGATGTAAAGCACAAACTCTGTGCTTAGTAGGGTTTGTTGTGTTAGAGACGAATCGGA